TCCAGGCATCGCACCCCGTGCCGAGCCTCTTCCGACCCTGCCTCCCGGCATCGCGCCCCGTGGCGCACTTCTTCCCATTACTGTGGGAAGCTCAAAGGCGAAGGACACTGAGTAGTCTTTCGCGCAACAGATTTATACACAATTCTATTCATCGCTTGCTTGAGGGAGCAGGCCAAGTTTTCTGTTGGCACACTGCAGTGTCGTTTAAAGGCGACTTCGCAGTGCGATTCTCATGCCATCATCCTCTGTGTTTGTCGTTCAATCGGGAGTTCTCCACCGTTTGCGGCGGAGTTCCCTGGGTTGCTACTTCAAACTTTCCACCGTAGCTGTTTCCTCTGCAATGGCAGAATCCCCCACGGGAATGAGATATGCTGTTGTTTTGACCCGCCGTACGCCAGCGCACGTTCCAGAAAAAGCTGCGGTGCACTGCCATCCCACACCGGAATCCCTGGTTCAAGCATGTTTGCCACAGTTTGGCTACAGCATCGCAGCTTCGCAGCTGAAACTTGCACCCCCCCCCCCCTCCCGAAGTTTTAACACCTGCAGCAGGACATGCCGGAGCCTCCCCTCCTCAGCGCCATCGACCTGGAGAGAGCGAGGCCCGGCTGTGCGGATGGTGGTTGGGAGTTTGCCGGTTTGGGCTTGAGTCTTAAACCTTAAACTAAACCCTAACCCTCAACCCGAGAGCCTCAACCGTAAACCCTAAACCCTGGGGCTTCTTTTTTTGAAACAATGCTGGGAACAAAGGATGCTGTTGGTTGTGATGCGTTGGGGATGGCGGTGGTCTAGAAGCTCCGCAATTCAGAGGCATCGGGAGTCTCAGAGACTCCTGTAGGGTGGTGTAGAGTCTAGGCCTTTGGATTTGGGGTTTAGAGTTTTAGGATTTGGGTTTAGAGTTTAGGGGGTTCGGATTTGGTGTCTTGGCTGAGGCTTTGGGGGGTTTTAGTGTGTTCGGCGAGGCTACTTTTGAAGGCTGCTTGGGGAACTTAGGGTTCTGTAGACGGTCGCCCTTGTGTGGCTTTGGGCTTGGGGGAGGGCTCAGAGCTGAGCCTCTGTCGACTTTTCGGGGTCACTTGTGGGGGTGGGTTGAAAGGTTTCGCATCCCTGAAGCCCTAAACTTAAACCCGAAACCCTCAACCCTCAACCCAAAACCCAAGTCTAAATGTGTTCGGAGCCTGCGAGCCGGAGTCCCCCCGACATACTTGCAGAAAGGAATTGGGGGGTGCCAGAAGCACGCCGGATCCCCGTTGCACACTGGCAGTTCGGCTTTTTTTTCGGATAAGACAGGCGTTTTTGAAGCATTTCCTTGCTTCGGGACTTTTTTGGATGAAACAGTCCCACTTTGCTTTCTAACCAAGCCCCTCTATAGACCTTACACCTTCAAACCCTGGGCCGAGGAAGGCTGTGAGACTTCGGGCTTTGACGTCTTTTGTGGGGTTTGGGCTTCTGCATGTGGTTGCACTTATTTTGGGCATCGGGCTTTGGGGGAATTTCGGAGCAGGTCTATATAGGGCTTTTTTTTTAGGGCTGTGGGATTTTTGAAAGAGTCCTGGCTTGTTTTGGGGTGCAGGCTGCACGTGTGTAATGCAGAGGCTATGGAAGAATAGAAGGGGATTCTAGAGCTGTGTAGGGATGACGAGCACCTCTGTCTAAATCTAGAAAACTCCGGAGTCTTGCACGTTCCATATGCCTCTACCCTCTGCTATACAGACTGAGTCCTTCTGAGTTTAGCACCCCAGACTCGAAGCCCTACACCCGCCCAAGCCTGAAGTCATCGACGCCAAGAACGCAACATAATTACTCACTCCAGAAGTCGTTACCGTCGAAATCCTTCTGCTAAACCCTAAACCCTCGAAAGCCTATATCCTTCAGCCATGCATCGCCTTCTATTGGGGCCTTGAAGGCGTAAATCCTTCAACCACGAAGTGCTGCCGCTCCCAAGTAGCGACTTTTTTCGGGATAAGTTGACCTATACACCCTAGCCCCCAAAATTCCTCAACCCCTAAATCCCTAACCCCTAACTGCACTAAACCCCTAAATGCCTAAGCTGCCAAATCTCTTCTTCCCTAAGCTGCTAAATCCCAAGATGCCTAAACCCCAAAATGCCTAAACCCCTGAAGCCACTAAATCCCGAAATCCTTGAGCCTTCTGGGGTTGCGAGTGGTCAGCTTGGAGCTGCAGCTGTCGGGGTGAGGGTTTAGGGGTTTTAGGGTTGCAGGTTTAAGGGGGTTTTAGGGCTTTAGGGTTGCAGGGTTAAGGGGGTTTTAGGGTTTTAGGGTTGCAGGTTTAAGGGGGTTTTGGGGTTTAGAGTTTAATGCAAAAGCCTCAATAACTCACCAACATTGTTCCTTATAGGCTTACACAGTATAGCCCCACGCCCTGAGTCTGGTACTGAAGGCCACGATATCAGCAACCGAGGTTTCGGGCTTTTCGGTCCTTGCCAAGTCGAGGCCTCGTGTGCCGCTGCCCACGCAATCCTGGTCCTCCAGCTCGGGAGGAAGGCGGCAGCATGGGATTTGCTCCTGTTCCTACTACCTCCTACTACCTCGGTTGATGATAGAAATCCTGCATTACCTTAAAAAACCCTAAACTATAGGAATTAGGGTACGTTCCTTGTTATGCGTAATGCAGGATTTATACCATCAACAGTACTGCTACTACTACCACCACCATCATCAGTTTATCTTCGTCTACTACTAGTGTTTGTTCGGCCAGTTTGTGAGCACTCGGTGAGAGATGGATTCCGACACATCATTAGTCCCGACAGCAAGTACAGGTGAAGCTCCAACATCGGAAAGCTTGTGCAGTTCTCAGCTGCACTTACATGCCAGGTAGATGCAGGTGTGTCAAGCTTGTCTACGGTCAATTTCTCAGCGGCTTGAAACTGCAGGCATTTGCAGCCGGAGGCCAACAGAATGAGCAACACCAGGAGCAAAACAGAGTTGTTCTTCATGCCTGTGCCCTGCTTGCGCCAACAGCAGGCACGACATGAGCAGTAGCCGGTAGCTGCCGAGACACTTTCCGTCGGAGAAGAGTCCGCGCTCGCAGCCATGCCGAAATTCTCGCTGTACGCAAGGCTCCGTGCAGCTGAGGAGGAGGCCGGCAAGGATCGGCTGCGTGCGCGGCTCGTGTGGTCCCTCGGCCTCTAGCAGTCCTTGGGGGCTCCGAGTTCTGCAACTGACCACTCTAGTACTGTAGCAACAGTGGGCCGAGTAAGAATCCGGAGAAGATCGCGGCTGAGCGCAGTGTACTTCTTTAGGCTTCTGGGGCTGTTCCGTGTTTGAGTCTGAGCGAATGTTGGGGGAAAGCTAAGGCTCCTGGTGGTGCTGGAGACGATCTCCATGCTTTGCATTCCTCAGGTGGCCACTCTCACGCACGGAGTGTTCTTTCTGATCCCGCTGGGGGCGCTCTTCCTAGCTGCCGCGATCCGACTTTACTCCAGGCCTCGCATCCTGCTGGCTGAGCCACTTTGCATCCTTTGGCCTGACAACCATTCACGATACGGCCTGGCGCGTGAGCAGGCGCCCAACCTTCGCTTTGGTGGCTTCGTGTGGGTTCTGAAGCTTGTGTGCGCTTTGACTTTCTGGGCGAGCCCCGCTGCCTTCAGCTTCCTGGGGGACAGTTGCCCTGACGCAGTCCCACGCCCGAATTGCAGCCGTTACACACGAGAGGATGGAAATACGGTGTGCATGGACGTACATGTCGTTTACGAGCCGCCAGATGCCAGACGCACCCGCATAAGCCTGTATATGCTTAAAGAAAACACATGCTTTGAGCAGTGCTATGGTTGTGCGCGTTGGGAGAACTTTGCCCAGAACAGCTCAACGGACCTGCAGGGCTGTTATGACCCATGTGATTTATCGTGCTGCAATTGCCTGCACTGCTACCTTTCAGTGCCTAATTGGTTAGGGCAAGGATGCGCTGCTGGAGCTTTCGAGCCAGATCTTGCACAGGAGCTATTTGGGTGTGCACATGGCAATATTGGATGCATGATGCCGAATCCACTTCCGTACTATGAGGCGCAGACGCTGAGTGTGGAAAACACTATGCTTGCACAACTTGCTCGCTGCGCCTTGGTCCATTCTGAAAAGTCCAGTCCAGTCAAGGGTGCGGTGGCGGTAGTCTCAGCGTTGCAGTGCTTGCCTTCAGCCTCTTTGGTGGCCTGCCTTTTGCTGGGCATCTGGGTGCATCTGCTGAAGGGCGGAATTGCCTCTGTCAAACTGGGTGCTGTCCCCGCGGAGCTTGAGACCATTGAAACCATAGATGCAAAGGCAGCGCAGCTGCAAGACCAGATTCGGCATAGAAGACTGGAATCCTCGCCCAAGGTGAAGCTCCAGCTTTGGATGGAGTTTGTTGTTTTCCTGCTCGACTACCTGTCAGACTACAACTGCCTCCGAACTTTTGTCGTGGAGGGAGCCCACGGTGTGGCAGCCGTGCAGGCTGTCATCATCGCTGCTCCGGTAGTCTTAGACTGCTTGCGTGGGAAGATTCAACTGGTGGAAGTATTCCGGGGATTGATGGAGTCACGGAAGCGCGGCTTTCCTACCGACGACTTCATCCTGGCGCTGCGCTCGGAGAAGAGCCTGGAGGCTGCACTCTCAAAGTATCCTAGGCCCCAAAACCCCCAAGCCGAAACCCCTGCCTCCAAACCCTAAAGCTCTACCCCGAAACCCCTTTGCCCTGAACTAAAGCTAAAGCCGTAAAGAGCCCTGAGGCCCCACTTTCCATGTTCCTGCAGTTCTACACGCTGTTGCGGAGCACACGCCCCTCGTCCGTCTGGAGCCTTTGCATCTCCATGCCGCTGAGCATCCTGGGCATTGCAAAGCATGTCCACGGAACCTTTGAGCTGCAGATTTTGGAGGTGCTGACAAGACATCCAACCCAGCCCAGGCAGCCAGAGCTGCAGACCACACCCCTGCAGTCAGGGCACAGCAACACTCCCCAGCACCGACCAGGGCCCGGACCTGCTGCAGGTCCGTGGAGACCAGGCGGCGAAAGCCTTCCAATGCAAGGGTCCCCTTGTCCGCCAGGTTCCACCCAGGTCATTCCGGACCTGCCTCCAGGCATTGCACCCCGTGCCGAGCTTCTTCCGACCCTGCCTCCCGGCATCGCGCCCCGTGCAGGACCTGCCGCAATGCGAGGCTCACCTTGTCCGCCACCAGATTCCATGCAGGTGATTCCGGCCTTGCCTCCAGGCATCGCACCCCGTTCCGAGCCTCTTCCGACCCTGCCTCCCGGCATCCCCCCCGTTGGCGCACTTCTTCCCATTACGGTGGGGAGCTCAAAGGTGAAGGACACTGAGTAGTCTTTCGCGCAACAGATTTACACAATTCTATTCATGGCTTGCTTGAGGGAGCAGGCCAAGCTGTCTGTTGGCACACTGCATTGTCGTTCAAAGGCGACATCGCAGTGCGATTCTCATGCCATCATCCTCTGTGTTGTTGTTCAATCGGGAGTTCTCCACCGTTTGCGGCGGAGTTCCCTGGGTTGCTACTTCAAACGTTCCACCGTAGCTGTTTCCTCTGCAATGGCAGAATCCCCCACGGCAATGAACTATGCTGTTGCGTTGGCCCGCCGTACGCCAGCGCACGTTCGAGAAAAGCTGCTGTGTACTGCCATCCCACACCGGAAGCCCTGGTTCAAGCATGTTTGCCACATTTTGGCTACAGCATCGCAGCTTCCCAGCTGAAACTCGCTAAACCCTAAAGCCCTAAACCCTAAACCCCCCCGGAAGCCCCAACACCTGCAGCAGGACGTGCCGGAGCCTCCCCTCCTCAGCGCCATCGACCTGGAGGGAGCGAGGCCCGGCCGCGCAGATGGTGGTTGGGAGTTTGCAGGTTGGGCTTGAGCCCTCAACCCTAAACCCTAAACCCTAAACCGTCCGAAACCCTAAACCCTAAACCCCTTCGTTTTAAAGCACTGCTGGGAAGAAAAGATGCTGTTGGTTGTGGTGCGTTGGTCTAGAAGCTCCGCAGTTCAGAGGCATCGGGACGTCTCTATGAGAATCCTGTAGGGGGGTGTAGAGAGTCTAGGCGGTTTAGCGTTCAAGTAGGTTTAGAGTGTGGGGGTTTCGGATTTGGTGTCTTGGCTGAGGGTTTGGGGCTTTTAGAATTTTTAGGGGGAGTTCAGGGTTCTGTAAACGGTCGCGGCTTGGATGGCTTTGGGGTTTTTTTGTTTTGGGGATTCCAGGGGTCAGGTCCCGGTGTTGGTTTTCGGATAGACTTTGGGATCCGCCAATAAGGCCCGTAGGGCCTTTCAGCCCTACCCATAGGCCCCGAAGTATGTAGGGCTTTTTCGGATTCGGGACTTACAGGTGTAGGGGTCTAGGGATTTGGAGGTTTAAGGATCAGGAGACCGAGTAACCTAGTGGACAGTGTAACTGGGCTTACAAACAGAAGTTATCTCAAGCAAGCTTTGCGATATGCACTACGTCACAAGCCCACAGCTTAGCTGATTCCTGATGGCCCGCCTCAGGCTCAGTTTGCTGCGAGTCCGTCGGCATGTAGCCCTCGCCGCAGGCCTGGAACCGAGGTAGTTTGATCGTCAAGCTTTTGCGGTTTTGGGGGTTCCGGGTTTGGGATTAGGGTTTCAGGTCTAGACTTTTGAGACTTTTGGGGATTTTGCTTTCAAAACTGCAGCTTGAGGACTTACATGCCGAGTCTATTTGGCTGCCAACGCTCGGAGAAGACCCCCGAGCCTTCGAGCCCTTAGTGTTGTGCTTAAGCTCCGACACAAGGAGATGTAAGGCCAAACAGAGGACTTTTGAGGTAGATCAGAGGGTAATCCTTACTTTATCCAAAGAGCATAGCCCATACGTGGACAGGCAGAGCTCCGAGCCTGGTGCTGGCTCTCTCGCAGAAAGAGCAAGGCCACGCCTCTCTTGGATGTTGCTCGGGCCCGGTGAACTCTGAACCTGAACTTTAAGCATCGAGGAGTAGTAGTGTGTCTGTATCAGGGTCCAGGATTTTACAAGCTCTCAGAACTGCAGTGGTACATCCTGCAGGCGTAGGGTGCAAGGTGAAGGTTCGCACATCCCCGCCGAAATAGACCTGGACGATGATGGATCGCGCAGGTTCAGGAACTAGAGTTTAGAGTTTAGGATCTAGGGTTCACGGTTTGTGGTGTCTTTGTTCAGAACTTCTTGGCAATGGTCAGTGACATATTGAATCATATTGAAGTTGGGATCGGCATTGCCAGCCGCATGCGAATACGCTTTCATCTGCCAGTGTCGTACTTAACGTTTCGCGGTGAGTCGCGTGCCGTCCTGTTGAGATTGAACACGGTTGACCCTTGAGGCTACTGGTTTACGGGTAAGTTTAGGGTTTAGGGTTTGGGGTTTAGGGGTTTAGGGTTTATGGGTTGCGACTTCTCCCCTGACTCTGCTTGGATCGAAGGCTGTCAGCTGTCGGGGTGAGGGTTTTGGGCTTTGGGGTTCAGGGTCCAGGGGTTTTAGGGCTTTAGGATTTTTTTTTAAAATGGGGTTTGGGATTTAGGGGTTAGGGGTTGAAGGGGGGTTGAATACAAAAGCTTCAATAACTCACCCTAAACCCTAAACCCTAAATCAACATTATTCAATAGGGTTCCTTGCCAATTCGAGGCCGCAGCTGCCCATCCAATCCTCCTCTTCCAGCTCGTGAGGAAGGTGGCAGCGCGGGATTTGCTCCTGCTCCTACTCCTGCTACCACCACCTACTACTACTACTACTACGACGACGACTACTACTACTACCACCACTACTACTACTACCACCACCATCACCAGTTTGTCTGCTTCTACTACTAGTGCTTATTCGGACAGTTTGTTCGCGAATCGACGGCTTCTATCCTTGTCTAGGTAGTTGAGGGGCACTCGCATTCTGAAGCGTAGCCAGCCGCTACTCTCACATTACTGGAAAGCACCGATGTCAGCCCCAAATCCGGAAGCTTAGAGCTTCGGGGGTTTGGGGGCTTCAGGTTCAGGGTTTTGTGTCTAGGGTACCTACAACACCTAATTGAAATCTTCAGTCTTGTGATTATGCAGTTCTCAGCTGCACTTACATGCCGGGTAGATGCAGGTGTGTCAAGCTTGTCTACGGTCAAAATCGCAAAATCCATACGGCTTGACACTGCAGGCATTTGCAGCCGGAGGCCAACAGCATGAGCAACACCAGGAGCAAAACAGAGTTGTTCTTAATGCCCGTGCCCTGATTGCACCAAGAGCAAGCACGACATGAGCAGTAGCCTTTAGCCGCCGAGACACGAAGCCGAGCTCGCAGCCATGCCGAAATTCTCGCTGTACGCAAGGCTCCGTGCAGCTGAGGAGGAGGCTGGCAAGGACCGGCTGCGTGCGCGGCTCGTGTGGTTCCTCGGCCTCCAGCACTTTTTTTTGGGCTCCGAGAACTGTAACCGGCCAGACCCAGTTTCTACTTGTGCATTGGCTTCTTAGCTTCTTTAGGCTTCCAGGGCTACCGTATCTGAAAGGGAAGCTTGCGGGAAGGCTGTATAAGCGTATAAGGCTTCTGAAGGGCCATCTCATGGGTGAGTGTAGGCTCCAGGGAATGTTGTGGGAAAGCTGAGGCTCCTGGTGGTGCTGGAGACGATCTCCTTGCTTTGCTTTCCTCAAGTGGCCACTCTCACGCACGGAGCTTTCTTTCTGATCCCACTGGGGGCGCTATTCCTAGCTGCAGCGATCCGTCTTTACTCCAGGCCTCGCATCCTGCTGGCTGAGCCACTTTGCGTCCTCTGGCCTGAGAACCATTCACGACATGGCCTGGCGCGCGAGCAGGCGCCCAACCTCTGCTTTGGCGGCTTTGGGTGGGCACTGAAGCTTGTGTGCGCTT